TTCCATCAATTCTTAACCCTCAGTTTTATTCCCTCTGAAGTATACTAGCAAGCTGTATGAACTCAAAAAAAAGGATAAAGAGTTGTTGCTTAAATCAAATCACAAAGGAGAAAATTAAATTTTCTGAACCACTCTTTTTCCTCCCATTTGCCCCTCTAGTCTTTTGTTTTCTGCTACACTCCCCCCTTCAAATTTCCCAATGAAAATAAATGCTGGATGGCTTTGTGTTAAGTCAGAAAAATAATCTATAACTGCATTTTACTGTATTTGCCGCTTAACATATCCCAACAGTGAACCTAACATTTAGAATCTATCATATCAACATAGTCGTCATGATCCAAGCTGCAAATAATAGAGAGTGTCACTGTCAATTTTGCTTTCTCACACTTCCTTCCCTTCACTTCATCTGATTTTAATAATCCCTGTCAAACCACAAACAGTCCAAATTACCTTCTTGACACAGAAGCTTTCAAGGAAGAGACAGAATCTCAACTTTCATTTAGCGACTACAAAAGCAAGCTGTCCGACTGGACAAATATTATTTCCACTCTTGACAATCTCTACAGTAAAGCATGCTTTTTAATTTTCACTGAAGCTGCCAAGAGTTTGAGATAAGCTTCTTGTTTAGTGTAGACTGACTCACAGGATTAGCAAACCAACAACTGTAATTGTGTTTAAAGAAGCCAGCACTTTCAAGTCAAAGAAAAAATTGCTTGCAAAAGGTGACAATTCCATGTCATAAGCTAACTGAATTAAGAAAAAGATTATACAAATAATTTCAATTTAGTAGATCTTATAGGATCTGTTTCAAGATAGTTTTACATTTCTAAGATTGACCAAATGGTTGCTGCTAAGATGTAATATAAATCAGAATTTCAAAGAGGACAACTTTATATTCAACTACATCAGCAACAGTCTAAGGAAGGTTAGCATGTGACAACAGGAAATGTTCAAGGCAAATAAGCTTCCGCAAAAGGATGGATCTGTAATCATTTTCCCCTCTGTTGGCTTGTCTTCAAAGTAAGCTTGATAACATAACTCGCTGCTTCACATATATCAGTTTAAAAGTAATTGATTTCTCTGATGAGGCACAGTATTGTATAATTAGCATTCTATTTGAAGTTTATGTGGATTAATCAAAGCATAATACATTTTTACAGAAAATATTTTCTTCACATAGACACAGCAGTCTCTCTAATCATCTGGAAGTCTATTGCTTTTTAGTATTTTGACTTATTTAAAGTTGTAATCAGGTTTTGAAGTGTTACTAGGTATGAAAAAAGAAAACAGAATAACCAAGATGCTTCCCATCAGAAGCCTCACGTGAAGTATTTGCTTAAATACCTCAGACTGCCTGTCCCACGCACAGGCCTAATTTAAGACTAATCAAAGCTGTTTTAAGAGATTCTTTGGTAACTAGTCAGAATACACCAAAACAATAAAAGCCTATCTTTGAGGAATCCATAAAATCACTATGAAATACAGAGGTATATGCCAAGGTGGTGTTTAGAGTTCCACAACAAGAGAATTATGCTTTCTACTAATACAGCAACATTTTAGTGTTCTTTTAACAGTTTGGGCTGGCAGCTGGCTCTCCATGATCTCCCATCTTCATGGCCAGACATCCTCCTGCTTGCCTTTTTATTTTGTTGTCCTTGTTAGCAATGAGTAAGAGTTTTAACAGCTTACTGTATTTTTCTCCTTCAGCACTGCTAGCCAAAGCACAATTTTGATACTCAGCAGTACATTGATTCTACCACAGGTCTGCATCAGATTAGACCTGCATGTTCTTTTATTCTAAAAAAAGGATCAGATCAAAAGATCACCTAAAGGAGAAAAAAAATTATATGAGAAACACACAGACAAAAGGTATTCTCAGTTTTAATTAAAAGGACATTGATTTAAGTCTCTTTAAGTAAGTGCTTAGTCTTGACTATGTCTTGACTTCTAGGTAACTATCAGTTTGAATCCAGTGCAGAACTCATAACGGATACCAGCTAGCTCTATGCATTAAAAAAGCACAGATTATGTATCATTTAGGGTTTAAGCACTACCAAACACAATGGAAGTAGGAGATAGGAAGGGCATCTCTAGAACAGTATTTTAAAGTACAAATGCACTGACCGATATGAAAGTATGTATACACCACATGTACTTAATGGTAATCAAGTTAATTGTACAAAACTAAACCTTGTGTCTAACTGGTTTGCAGTTCTGTAACTACCAGGAAAGCTAGATTTTTAAATTATTCTTTTTTTTTTAAAGACAGGAATGTCTTACTAATTCATAAGCCATATACAAATGATTTTTTCAACTAGTTGCTCAGAGGTAGTCTTTATCTTCCCAGAGCATCCTCTGTACTTCAATTCAGTTTTGTCTCACTTTGTTACATCTTTATTTCGTGGCAAGAAGTGCCATCACAACTATGATGCCACAAAAGCAAAAAAAAATGCATAAGCAAGTGGCACTTTTAAAGAATATTTATCCACAATACCTTTCCATTGCTGCTGAAAAAGCAAGAAAGGAAAATAAAGGAATAGTTATAGTGAAAAGAACTTCCTTCTTCTTAACGATCTCTTAAACTATTCTCTTGCACTCCAGCCTGAAGCTCCTCATCATAGGGCAAAGCAAGAGTCCTGCAGCTGGCAGCTCATGAAAGAAACATCTCGTACTTCACGGTGAAGTTCATTTACCTCTATACTGTTAATCTGTATATGCCATGGAAATGCCATGTGGCTATGATTCAAGAATACTCATGGAGAGCTCTGATACATTCTACCCACTCTTCTGGGAAGATGCTGTGTCAAGAATACTATTTCACAACAAGGTAAGAGGCAACAGTGTTAAAAGGTGGGAGGGGGAATTGTAACAAAATGCATTCACACAGGGGAAAATAAATCCTTCTTTGGAACCAGACCAGGTCATAAACTACCCTGTAAGAAGGAAAGACAATCAGCTGATTTGTGATGCAGAGAGGGGTTCCTCCTCCCTATCATCTTAAACAACTACTATAAAGATATTATATTAAATTCTCTAGTGGAGAAAGCACTTAGCCTTTGGTTTCATGATTAAGAGGGCAAGTGTTCATAAATATCTTACAAGTGAACGCCATGCACTGTATTATTTCTTACATAAGTACAAGACTCTCAAATGAGTTGTGCAACCAGCCAAGAAGTGGAACTACAGTGTAAACAATGTGCACTACTTGCCTATCACATGAAATAAATCTTTTGCTTCAGAACAAAACTGGACTGAAAACTAAGATCTAATTTTTTTTTTTTTTGCAAGGAAAGACTACATTTCAGGTTTCTAGAGGGAAAGAGAGGGGGACACCATAGACAAAAAAAAAAGGAGTAAAAACTTCTTTCTAGAGTCACATTAACATTTCAGCAAATTTCTTTTTCCTTATATTAATTTCATAGCATTTTATAACTTTTTAAAAGTTAAAAATTAATAAGCCATGTAAGATTCAAGCTGGAACCTTATATTACAATCAAATTTTTAAGGTTCAATTTATATATTTTTAAGTTTAACTGCCTAAAACTGAGTATAGTAACAACTCTAGCAGTATATCCTTCAGAAGCACGAGTTGTAACCAAATCTATTTTCAGATAAGAGTTCTACATTGAACCTTAGCATTTCAACCCTATTCTATTGATCTGCAAGATAAATTATGCTTGTTGTGACCCAGCCAACAGCAGGTGGTCCCGGCCCAAGATTCCCTTCACTGGTACACCACCAGGAAACAGTATGGAGGATGATACAAGCGCAGACAAAACATCCAATGAGAAAAACAGTTAATGGTATGTACTCTGAAAAATGAAGTAAGAGTTCAGGGATAGAAAAGGGAAGGAGCATTTATTGAAACGACATATTTTTTCCTAGATAAGCTGGTAATAAGTGACATTACAATACCCTGCCTCATGCTAATCTTTGGAGCCAAACATTGTTCAGGAACTTTAAGTTTGTTCTGAATAAGAGAATCAAAAGTCTATTGCTTTGCAAGTGTGTATCATGGAATGGCATTGAACAAATAATTTGATTTTTAATACCAAGGCAGACTGGAATATTTTTCCATTTTTGTCTTCTATCACTGTGTGCACCAGGGAGAAGTTTATTACAGGAAAAGAACCAAGTGCAGTGTATTCCTCACACACCCTATATCTGCATTACCTGACAGAACTCACATGCTCCCAGTCAAATGGCATGGTAAGAATTAAAAACATTGTAGAGCCTACTATTCCTATTTCAAATAATCCACTTCTTTATCTGTACTACAAGATAGTATAGCTCCCTAAACCACTTCTTCTTAGAATGATTACAAGTTTTTATTCAAAGTAGATTTTTGTACTATTATACGCTAATGGCAATGCAATAAAAAGAGTGGAGAGAAATTGATTGTACTGAGAAAAGAGATTCAGACAACTTGAGAGATAGGCCACATTTTCTGACCCTTTCTTCACAGGGTCAAGAGAGGTTATTAGGGTTTTCTGTGTATTACAGAACAGGCTGTATTCTGCTCCAAATGTAATAAATATTAGGGACTGTTGCACCTAAGCAAATGCTGTAAAGTACAATATGCTTTTCAAAAACAGTGGTCTCAATTCGCTTCCATAATAACCATGAAAGTCCTTACTACAAAGAGATACCCTATTCAGATTTCTGACAAAATTATACTAATCCAAAGTTTATAACTTTCCATTTCTTAACAGTTAAAACAGCTAGTCATTTTTATAGCTGCTGTAAAGAGATAAGATTTTATAAAATGGTTAATCTGAACAAAGCTTGCTTAGAACTTTTTAAAAACTTCTAAATGTAGCATCTCCTACATTTTCTTCAATCAATAAATTTCATATATATTCTTCATTAGTACCAATAAGCACTTTCCTAGAAACTTCACAGGTCTCATCTAACCACCCAGTTAGAACTTGTTAAGCATTTATAGTTTACAGCAAATCAATTTCAGAATGTATCAATGTACAATTCACATTAATACATACCTTCAGTGAGTACGTTCTCTCTGTAACTGAAATCTTGTTTTCAGTTTTAAGGGACTATGCACAGCATTCAGTTAATAGTTCATCGTGGTCCTATGTAAAAAGAAGGTATTAAAATTACTAATAGGTAGTATTTGAAGAACTAACACTTTCACAGATAAATATCCTAGTTGCTTAAGTATTATATAAAATTGCTCACACAGTAAGACAGTATGCTTCTTAATTCCAACTGCTAAATAACAGTCCAAGTTCAAAATGTTAAAAAAAGTTTTAACTTTAGGAGCCTCCATTTCTGCTGATACTTACTACACAAACCATGGTGCTACATAACACTTCACTTTGTTGTTCCAAAGGTATAAAAGCAATGGCAAGAAGACATGTAGGGGATGGGAAACTAGAAGGCCACAGAATATCCCAAAATAACATAGTAGCTGTAAGAAATGCTTAGGCAAGGCCCACATAGCTCAGTAGTTTCAATGAGAATAATCTACCTTGTGGTCACACACTTGTAGAACAATCAGCTTAGAAAACAGAAGAGGTGGAAGTTTGAGATGAACATTCCATATATGAAGAGGGCTTACAAGAAAGATGGAGAGACTTTTTACCAGGGCCTGTAGCGACAGGACAAGGGGCAAAGGTTTTAAACTGAAAGTGGGTAGATTTAAATTGGACATAAGGAAGAAACTCTTTACTATGAGGGTGGTGAGGCACAGGAACAGGTTGCCCAGAGAGGTTGTGAATGCCCCATCCCTGGCAGTGTTCAAGGCCAGGTTGGATGGGCTTTGAGCAACCTGGTCTAGTGGAAGGTGCCCCTGCCTATGGCAGGGGGGTTGGAACTAGATGGTCTGTAACGGTCCTTTCCAACCCAAACCATTCTGTGATTCTACAATTCTATGACTGTATTAAAAGAACTAAAGATGGACTGTTGCATCGAGTAGTGGTTGTGGACACTAACATAATGAATCAAATCACCTAAAAACTAGCTCAGCAAAAATATCCTTCCAACCTTCTGTGGCAGCCACTTACCCTGTGCAAGCCCATTTATCCCCATTTACCAGGCAGCTGTAATAACCACTGATGATGGCACAGGGCAGGTGACTGCAGTGAGTGGTTGGTGCAGTCCTGCCCACTTGGCAGCAGTGCCAGTTTATGCTAGATTAAATTGACAAAACTCTGTTGAAAATGATAGATTGCCTGCATTAGACTTACAGACCTTGAGAAATCATCTCTAAAGAGGAACTGAAAGGACTGTGTTTACACATGCATGCTAACTTACCTGAATAGAAAGTTCCATTATGTTTAACAGCAATAAAATGGGAAAGCGTATGTAAGAAATAACAGGAAGTATCCTGCTCACCTACTTTTGCTTCACAATATTTTAAGCAATTAAAAATATTTTTACAACGCTTTCTACATGCATTAAACTCTTTTTTTATTCAGTACTGTTTATTAAGAAGAAAGTGGTTCTTTATGTGCAAAAGAATTGGGAACTCTTAGCACTTTCCAGGCTTTTAGCTGTAGTACCCCAGGACTAAAGTTCCTCTAACTCAGAAGTTCTGTAGAAGAATCAGCAAAGACGAGCAAAGGAAGTTTAAACGAATCGCATGTAGGTTTGACAATGGGATAGCCACTGTTCTTTGACCAATACTTTCACATCTGTGTTTTAAATTAAGAAGAAAACCAATAACGCCTGTACTTTTTCCACTGTTTTTATTACTTTTCTGGAAATGGAGGCTATGCAAAAATATATATAAAAAATGACAGTAAGGTTGTAACTCCAGCCCACAAAAGTCAAGAAATTTAAAGTTAGTCTGACATTCAATCCTTAAATCATGCAATTGTGCTTCTTTTTTAAAAAGCAACAATGCAAGTTAATGACAAGTTGTCAGCCCTAACTTTGAATTGCCTGAAGTTTGTCATTTGGTGTTTGTGTCACAACCTTAATGTTATTTAAATGTAGTTTTTAGTATCTATTATTTAAAAAGGTCTACTTTACGACAGCAAAAAGCTTTGATGGAATAAACCTCAAAGTACACTGTAGTGCTGGTATGCCACTTCATTAGAAGTAGTGCATAAAACATATGCTGTTGACAAATCTAATTCATTAAAGGTGAGGTAGATGCACTTTAAAACAACTGGATGGCATCATTATCTACAGTTCCTTTTATAAATTATTCTTCTTTTCCCTTTTGACTGAACTTGTCAGTGCTCCCTTTTCAGACTGTGAATGTTTTTGCCTTAAAATTCAATACCTTCAACATGTTTGGACAAGTTAAATAAGTAGCGTATTTGCTAAAACTAAAATTGTAAGCAGAAACATTCACAGTGATTATTTCACCTATATTAACTAATGAGAAATAAAATTAAGCCACAATGTATAAGAGTTTCAGCTTATCAAACATAAAATTTAAAAATGAAGAGAAGAGGAAATTACAAAGTACAACAGAGTAACATTCTGGCAGCATTTTGCATTGCTATTCAGATGACTTGGATTTGATATTGAGTTGAATTTTGCAAGAGAGAAGAAGATCAGGCACATCACAGAGCTGACAGCTGACATATTTAGTTATAAAAGGAAGAATTTCTAACTATATTACTCAGACTTTTAGGCAAAGACCAGTATTGGTATAGGAACTAAAGGCTATAGAAGGGTCCATAAATAAAGTTGAGCTAGTATTTAAAGCATGGCCCATCAGTGGTGAATTCCTTGAACAACCTTCCAACAGATAAAACCCATGTAACTAGTCAAAAACTGATCAAACTCCATCTTAGAATATTGTTGCCTGTGAGAACATGTAAATTTTTCTCCTCAGCCCAGAAAGAATGAAGTCCTTCTATCACTGTGGTCTCTAAAACCCAAATCATAGTGCAGGAGCTTCATTGAATCAATTGAAAAATAAGGTGAAAAAAAATGCTTTTGAGGACTAAATATAACACGATTTATGGTTAAATCCACTAATCACATATTCAGCAAAATTCTGAACTACACTGTATACAGGGAGACTAGGAAAAAAAAAATCAAAGACTCTTAATCAAGGATTCTTTCTCTAACATAATTTTCAAATCCTTATAAAGTGATCCAAATCTACCCATTAAAAAAATACAGAAATTTTTGCATAGAATGCATAATTATATTTCAATATGTCAATACTCTGTACAAATATTTTGTAATGAATTAGCTGGATTAGCAAAGAATTTTGCCTTGTTCAAGACCATGTACAGCACATAATACCACGCTACATATTTCTATACAGACACATGTACGCATACACATTTTTAACTAGATGCAGTGTCTCAGATTAATTCTATATTGTCTCTTGCAGAGACGAGCTCATTCCGATATAACATGTATCCTGAAAATTTAAGAGGTTGACGTTTTGCTTAGAAAAAATTGGCATATGAGTAACTTAAATATGGAAACACCTCCGAATATAATTCACCGAAGCCTATTTTATGCCTCCACGGATTGGAGCAAATCAGTTTCTGCAAGCAGCTCTAAATGTTTAACCTAAAAACTGACAGATTAATTTACCACATTTCAATCAGCATCTACCATTTACCTCATAAGATTTACATCATGTATGTCCAATATGCTACACATGCAATTCTCCTAATTAGTCTCCCCATTAATCCTCATCCTGCTCTTTTTTCGTTTTGTTCCCTCCCCTACCATACTGTCTTTACAGTCCCATGAGTGGAACAGTCATATTTGTTTAAGCCTTCCGCCACTAAAACATGGGAAGAGTTAGCTGCAGATGGACAAGAGTACAGTGGTATCTCCACTCGAGGAGACACATCTCAAACGCCACCTGTCTCCAGAATCCCTTAGTGAACTGAATTCAAAATCATTCCACTTACAACATTCTTGTTACTGAGAAGATCCATATCCTATTGACTGCTGGTACTAACAACTCTTCTTGTAGAGTAATTTCTTAGATTCTGTGAAGCGGGGCTTCTGTTTACCTCTAAACAACAGGGAAGTAGGACTTTGGGTACCTAAATTCCACTCTGGTCTGCCTAATAAACCTTTGAGGATGCTGCTGGGAGTGGGGAGGCAGGAAAAGGAGAGAAACAGGGCTGGCATCCTTAGAGAGTTTACACTTACGCAGAAGAGCCCATAATGCCTTCCCAAAGGAAGCTTTTGTGCCCCCCAATATTTCCCGAAAAGATGCTCTGTTCCCAGTCAGGGATTTCAGTCCTGCTCTTACTTCAGCCCTTACTGATGATCTTTATGAGCAATAATGTTGCTAACCACACAGCCCTTCTGTCAATACTGGCACTCCAGATGGGAGAAACCACTGACAGCAAAAAGCTTCTACACTAATAAATGTCACTGCTTCATTGGGAAAGTGGAAGAAAAGAGGGAGATGCCTAATCTATGCTATTGCTTCAAAGAAATTCTTGTGCGTAAGGGGTTGCCAAAGCACCCCTTCTGCAAAAGGTCTAGCCACTTTTTCTGCAATCCTTACGTTATTTTCAGGAAGCTATTTGGAGGACCTCACCAACTCTCATAAAGCTCCTGGGACTACAGATCACAAAAGGACATTGCTGTCTCTTTCCTTGAGGGAACATTTCCCTCATAGCATAGAGTGGTATCTCTGGATGGGACAAGGACTCACATGTCTTACATCTGGGTATGCCAAAGCCAAGTAGAATCACATAGTCATCTTCACAGTTAACAAAACTCCACTTCTCTTAACTCTCAAGTCTACCAGCGTGATGGGAAACAATCAGTCATTAAGCAAAACTTCTTGTTCATCCAAATTAATTCTTCACAAGACTCAGTGAAAAAAATAAAGATTATGGATATTCGGCTTACTTTGCATTGAAACAGACCTCAAAGCCTATCTGAAGAGAAACCCACTTCCTTATGGCAATAGGTAACTACATTAATATGATCTGGGTTTTGCTATTACTCTGACAGTTAATTTTGGATTTATTCTTTGGTAAATGCTGTCTACTTTTTGAGTCTACTAGACAACGATTTCTGATAAAAAACACCAATTAACACATTATTTTAGTACTGAATGCTTCGAGACACTAAAGAGACACTGCTATCCCAGGGTAAGCTTGCCTTCAGCGGCAACCTGGAA